GACCTCGCATTGGTCTTATCAACACCCTCAACGGGAGTCGAACCGCGACAGTGCAGGACGGTAGCTTGACCAATGCGAGGTCGAAACTGCAGTCGACCACAATGGGCTATGTGAAATTCAATGGAAAACGTCAGCTCAACTCATATCATTGTGGGAAAATTCTACTACCAGTCCCTGTGAAATTCAATGGAAATGTCAGCTCAACTCATATCATTGTGGGAAAATTCTACTACCAGTCCTTTATCACCTTAGACGAAATAGGGTGAATACATTTCATATCATTGTGGGAAAATTCTACTACCAGTCTTTCATCACCTTAGACGAAATAGGGTGAATACATCTCGATCATTGTGGGAAAATTCTACTACCAGTCCTTCATCAGCTTACACGAAATAGGGTGAATACATCTCATTAGACTGATTTACTGGTAGTCTTGAAACCCTACTCACATACGAATATTAGGAATATAAAAAGGATAGACACGGCGGAGACTGTAGCTAGTTGGCAGACAGTAGGTCTGTTTTACCAGAGACGTGGCCCATGTAGCAAAGGCTTGACAATGAGACTTACTCGAATAAGTCACCCAGACGCATGAGAGGGCGCATAACTCTTCGAGTAGCACAGATGGGGTGGTAGGGGTCGAGTGAAATACGTGAACCAGGGAGAGAGAGCAGACGGATCTTACGGGGCAAGAGAGAGACTGTGATAAGACCTAGGGAAGGAGCGAAGAAAAGTTGGGTTTTGAGGAATCTCTTGTTTCATAATTGTTGAGTTTGCAAAGAGTGTTGGGTGAAGAGATTCGAAGGTCGATTCCACCAGAAGACGACGGCAGATTCCTCTTGACCAGCTGTCGATTGGCTTTACTGGAAGATGCATGCTGACGCTGTTTCCGAGGTTATCTCCTTCGTCATATGACGGACATCATCAGAACGAGGTATCATCGTCACAACCAAATTCAAGCTAACGAGTCAAGAACCTTTTCACCGGAATCGAAGCAGATCACCTCGGAAACAGCATCAGCATGCATCTTCCCGTAAGACCAAATGACAGCTGGTCAAGAGGAATGCGCCGTCGTCTTCTGGTGCAACCGACCTTGGAATCTTTTCATCCAACACTTTCACTCGAAATGGAAGTAAGCTCAACAGCAAGGGAAGGAGGACCGCGTGACAATATGGCAGACTCTGATCCACATTCCCAGCACGCGGGTGAAGGAGGGGTGGGAACGCCAGTGTGGAGTGTGGATTGTTTTCACGAATGGCGCTCAGAGGAGCACACCACACTACATCGAAATAAGCATGGTACAAAGTGTAACAGTGAAGGTGTGATAGGAGATAGGAAATGTGAATAGACCAGGGCAGAAGCAGAGATACCACAATTGTTTAGCATAAGTTTGGTCATTTGTCTCTTTGACGAGTTGTTGTGTGGTGCTAAAAATGGCGAGACTCACTGACGATGTAGGCGAAACGTTTGGGAATGTACCACGTCCACGGTCCTAGTTTGGAAATGATCATGCAGAAAGTGGACTCTGAATTAGGTTGGTTCCTCTCGGCCATTATGAACAAATTGCGAAAACAGCGTCAAACAACGTCTAGACAACGAAAGGAGACTGCGACCAACCAAAAGGCCACACCATGTTGGTCCTCGTATTTTGGAAAAAAAACAAACTTCGCCCGGCTGTGTTGAGACCAACGAGCTGTAGCAAAGGCAGAGCTCAGAATGCAGTGACGTCCTATCAGCACCAGCATGCGTTGGCAGGCGTAGGGAGAAAATCGATCCGCCTACTAATGGGGTGAGAAGCTCAGCTTCTGATTGGCTGAGGACAAGTCACTTGGCTTTGTGTCGATGGGTCATCAATTGCAGGCTTAGGCCCGACTGGCAAGGATCTGGTTAGTCGGTCAATATGATGAGTGTCTGGCTTTTGAATATATTCGCTTAACAGACAGATGCTGACGCATCTTTAATTTCGGTTGAAGGAACGGTCGGAAAACATTTATAAATGACCTGCACATGATACCAAATACGGCTTGTCTTGGACCTGCGACTGTTGAAATGTGTGAAGGCGACATCGATGGATCGGTGCTAAGCTATCGTGCGTCGTGTGACGGACATCGTAACAGCAAGAAAGCATCATTTACGAACAATCACAAAAAGGAAAAAAAACCCAACAAGATGGCCTGCTAAGACTGGACTTGTATTTACGAAGAAAAAGCGGCTTTTGATGAATCCTCTGAGATAGCATTGTGGTAGAGACTTCTGTTTCGTATGAAGGTGCATTGAGAAGAGATTCGTAGGTCGATCTAAACAGACGATGACAGCTAACTTCAGTTTACTGCATCCGTTCGGTCGTAATACGACGCTCAAGTTGACGAAATCCACAAAACATCCTCACTCAATTCGGGTCAAAACAGGCTGATTTTTCGTTCGTCATTTGACACATATATTCAGAGCAGAAACTTATTCTCGAAAAGGTCTCAAGTTAACTCTAAGTTAACTTATATATATGTATATATATACATATATAAGTATATATCTTCTAAAAGTGAACCTAGCCGAAGAAAGTGTCGTAGTTTCCCTAAAAATAATTTTTATTCCTCACTTCTTCACTACCTGGCATATCTTTTCAGAGAATGCACGAATGCAAAGACAAAATATGGGAAATTGTGTCCGGCTTTTAATCTCTCCTCACCGGTCAAAAAGGTATTTTTTTATTATTCTGATGTTATTTTCAATCAGACCTAGAAGAAACACTAGTTTGAGCCGATCCAGTTCATTATCATAATGGTGTCTCTTGGCTAATTTTCACTTGCCCTAGTACATGTAGACGAGTTAAGTTTATGTGATTGCAGTTTTTCTTTGGGTAAATAAACCACATTATGATCATGTACTACCGAGGCTTGTTTTAATTTAGTGGATACGGCGCGTCTTGTGCGATCCTCATACCCCAGTTGACACATTCTCGTCCAGACTATACTCCAGATCAGTCAAGCCTTCTCTCACTCGGTGGCTTTTTCTGCCTTTCTTTATCTCTCCTTCTCAAAATGTTTCAAGTACTCAGACCTAGTTCTTGCTAACTTGTCTACACTCGTTCATCTTAGTCAGGATGTTCTTTGTTCAATTGACTTCAATCAACACCGAGGCCGTCACGCAACCAAGGCGTTCAGCTCCAAAGCCATTCAGCCTATTGAACTCGGAGGATGGGTCAATCCACGTGATCACCTACTTTCTTTTCGAAACTATCGCTTGGCATGTCGAACTATGGCGAAGAATTATTGCTGTCACTCAGCGCAACGTTAGCACACTTTAATATACTTAAATTAGCCAAACCTATTTATATCTCAAATTGTTATTGAAATGAGACATAGAAAAAAGCCGATCAGTCATGTTAAATTAGTGTTGACTTGTGGCTTTTGCAAGGATGAGTCCCAGCTTCGACGATGTTCGTCACATTACGAACGAAAGCACAGCCCGTCTTGGAGGATACCTCGTGGATTGCATCAACCTGAACATCATGTTAAGGCCAAACGGCTGCAGCACAACGCGAAACAGCCGACGTCTTCTGATGAGATTGACCCACGAATCTCTTCATCATGTACTTCAATACGAAATGAAAGTCCTTACACACATTCTGCAAAGTAGTGGGCAGGACAAAATCCTAACCTCCGGCGGCCCGTCCTGTACGCAATCTCATTCGATCTTCCAACAAGTGGGCATTTTCATTTTGAGGAAATTGCTCATTTTAAGGGATTGGTCAACTATTCATACTTTTAAGTTTTGAAAATGGGATTAAATGAAGAAGTCCTCGGCCCTGCGACTCCGATGGTTTCGAGCTAAAACCTTGCTTGTCAGCGCACTAAACCAAAAGTTTGGTGTGAGTTTTTAGCTCAACCTATGCCTACCACGTGACCCAAAGAAGATGGACAGAGATCTGTTAACTAGATCTCGAGAGCAATCCTTCGAATTTAGGCAACTCTGCAAAACCAGATTTTCTTTCTGAATGGAAAGAAAATCCCC